ATTCCAAACATATTTGATATGCGTTTAAAATCAAAGTCCTGTCTTAATTTTATTAGCACTAATAGAAGTTGATCATCTAGAGAAACACTGACTAATTAAGCTGCTACTATTCTTAGAAAATTCAAATGGTAACTTATAAAAAACAGTCATAAGGAAAGCCAGTGTAATATTGAAATGAATCTTTTTTAAAGTTGAACATCTAAAACATTGCGCTAATAGGTTCATACTAGTTCCTTTATTTACTTAATGAACTTGACTGCGTTTAAGATTTTCATTTTCCATAATTAACTTTGCATATTCTTCCTTCATTTTCATATTTTCTGCAGCAAGGGCCAAGATGTCAATCGGTTGAAATCCTGAAAAATATACACATTAAATAGATAATAATATGTATTTAAGGCACCCCTTACCAAGTGACAACTCAACCAAGAACAGAGAACTCTGATAAATGTGGTGAAATAGTTTTTCCAAAACCAGTTGATGTACATTTAGATTTAAATCAGATAGAAAAGATGAAAGTTGAGTGGAAATAAATATATGTAAAGCAAGATGAAGTCATAAAAATAGAGAGATCCACAAGAAATAATAATAACACCTGGATGAAAGAAAGTGTGGTGTTACTGCCTCAAACTTTGGAGCTGTTATGAAAAGAAAGGAATAAACGATTCATTTTTAAAAAACGCTTTTGACAAAAGTAATTTTTATTCTGTTCCCACTTCTTATGGGCAAGCAAATGAAAGCATTGCTAAACAAATGTATATCAAACAGACCTGGAATCATATTCATGACATTGGACTTGTAATAAATCCAGCTTTTCTTTTTTTAGGTGCTACACCAGATGCAATTGTTTGTGATAAATTAAATGTCCTTTTCAGCTCGAGATATGACACTTACAGGGGCATGTAATAAACTGAAAGATTTCTTTTTAATCCAAAATGATGATGAATATAAATTGTCTAGAAACCATATTCACTGGTTTCAGATTCAGGGACTTAACTTCCATAACTGGGGCTCAATTTTGCGATTTTGTCAATAAAATCATTCATTGCCTGGATTATTAGGCCTGATAATGCCCCATGCAACCGCCTTCCAGCAACCCTTTGTAGGGCCGGTACAGATGATTTAGGAATTCCACAAGGATCAGTCCTTGGACCTGTCCTTTCTGTAATGTATACTTAGAATTTAGGACAACTAATCGATAATTGTGATTTCTTATGCAGATGATACACAGCTGATTGAAAATTACTCTGTTTCAAAAACTGTTCCATCCCCAAATTCTGACATCAAATTGTGTACACATGACATGTCGTCGCACCTGTCTGTCCGTCCACAATTTGTTTGTGGACACTCTACAGGTCACAATTTTTATCCAATTTTGACGAAACTTGAAATATAGGTCTATCTCCCACAGATCTCGGTTCCTGTTGATATTGGCATGTAGCGGACCATAACTTTATGGATTATGGCCCCTGATTGTACGATTGATCCGATTTTGATGAAACTTGAAATGCATGTTTATAACCCAAAAATCTTCTTTCCTTTCGATATTCGCGCATATCGGATCATAACTTCCTGAATTATGGCCCCTGATTGTACGGAAATCGTGTTTTTAGCTTGTGGTCTCTATAGATATCACAATTTTTATCCGATTTAAAAAAAAAACCTGTCAATATATCACAGTTATACACTAATGATGGTCGAGTTCAAATTTCGTGAAAATCTGACAAAAACTGACGGACAAAATGGCCACCCATTGTACGCAAATAGTGTAAAATATGGTATGTCAAGGTTGTGGACCTCTTAGAGATCACAATTTTGATCTGATTTTGATCTGATTTTGATGAACCTTGAAATGCATGATTATAACCAAAAGATCTTGGTTCCTTTCGTTATTCGCGCATCTTGGATCGTATCTTCCTGAATTATGGCCCTTGATTGTACGAAAAATCACGTTTTGAGCTTGTGGTCTCTATAGATATCACAATTTTTATCCAATTGATAACAAAAAAGTGTGAATATATCACAGTTACACACTAATGATGGTTTGTGAAAATCGGACAAAAATGGCTGCCCCTTCTACGCAAATAGTGTAAAATTATGGTATATCAAGGTTGTGGACAACTTTATCATAAAGGTCTTGGTTCCTTTTGAGAATCACACAGAGATGTCACAATTTTTATCCGATTTAAAAAAAAAAAGTTTGAATTTCGTGAAAATCGAACAAAAACTGACGGACATAATGGCCGCCCCTTGTATACAAATAGTGTAAAAATACAGTTTTTAACCGATTTGGATGAAACTTTAAATATATGTTTTATCATAAAGATCTTGGTTCCTTTTGATAATCACACTTATTATGGATTATGGCTCCTGATTGGTCAAAAAATCACATTTTTAGCTTGTGGATTCTCTAGAGGTCTCAATTTTTTTTTTCCGATTTTAAAAAACGTTTAAATATTTCACCATTCCACCATAATGAAGGCTGAATTTGAATTTTGGGAAAATCGAAATGAAACTACCCGACAATATGGGCGCTCTTTGTACACAAATTGTGTAAAAGTATGCAATACGAAGGTTGTGGACCCTCTAGAGGTCACAATTTTTTCCCGATTCTGATGAAACTTAAAACATATCTCTGTATCATAAAGATCTCAGTCCCTTTTGATATTTGCGCATTTCAGACCATAACTTTCTGGATTCTTGCCCCTGATTGTACAAAAAATCATTTTTATACGCCCACATTTTCATGTGGATGTATTATGCCGTCGCCCCTGTCCGTCTGGACGTCCGTCCATCCGTCCGTCCACAATTGTTTGTGGACTCTCTACAGGTCACAATTCTTATCCGATTTTGACGAAACTTGAAATATAGGTTTATCCCCAAAAGATCTCGGCTGCTTTTGATATTGGCATGTATCGGATCGAAACATCATGGATTATGACCCCTGATTGTACGAAAAATCACGTTTTTAGCTTGTGGACCCTATAGAGGTCACAATTTTTATCCGATTTTGTTGAAAATTGAAATGTAAGTTTATAACCCAAAGATCTCGGTTCTTTTCGATATTCGCGCATATCGGACCGTAACTTCCTGAATTATGGCCCCTGATTGTACGAAAAATCACGTTTTTATCCGATTTAAAAAACCGTATTATTATATCACCGTTACACCCTAAGGAAGGTTGAGTTCAAATTTCGAGAAAATCGGCCCAAAATTGACAGACAAAATGGCCGCCGTTCGTTCAAAAAGCGTAAAAATATGGTGTATCAAGGTTGTGAAATGTAAGTTTATAACCCAAAGATCTCGGTTCCTTTCGATATTTGCGCATATCAGACCGTAACTTCCTGAATTATGGCCCCTGATTGTACGAAAAATCGCGTTTTTAGCTTGTGGACCCATAGAGCTCATAATTTATTATCCGATTTAAAAAACTGTATTATTATATCACCATTACACCCTAAGGACGGCTGGGTTCGAATTTCTCAAATAGCGTAAAAATATGGTATATCAAAGTTGTGGACCCTATAGAGGTCACAATTTTTATCCGATTTTGTTGAACCTTGAAATATAAGTTTATAAGCCAAAGATCTCGGTTCCTTTTGATATCTGCGCATATCGGACCGTAACTTCCTGAATTATGGCCCCTGATTGTACGAAAATACACGTTTTTAGCTTGTGGACCCTATAGAGGTCATAATTTTTATCCGATTTAAAAAACCGTATTATTATATCACCGTTACACCCTAAGGATGGCTGAGTTCGAATTTCGTGAAAATCGGCCCAAAACTGACAGACAAAATGGTCGCCCTTCGTTCTCAAATAGCGTAAAAATATGGTATATCAAGGTTGTGGACCCTATAGAGGTCACAATTTTATCCGATTTTGTTGAAACTTGAAATGTAAGTTTATAACCCAAAGATCTTGGTTCCTTTCGATATTCGCGCATATCGGACCGTAACTTCCTGAATTATGGCCCCTGATTGTATGAAAAATCACGTTTTTAGATTGTGGACCCTATAGAGGTCATAATTTTTATCCGATTTAAAAAGACGTATTATTATATCACCGTTACACCCTAAGCACGACTGAGTTTGAATTTCATGAAAATCGGCCCAAAACTGACAGATAAAATGGCCGTCCTTCGTTCTCAAATAGCGTAAAAATAGGGTATATCAAAGTTGTGGACCCTATAGAAGTCACAATTTTTATCCGATTTTGTTGAAACTTGAAATGTAAGTTTATAACACAAAGATCTTGGTTCCTTTCGATATTTGCGCATATCGAATTGTAATTTCCTGAATTATGGCCCTTGATTGTTGGAAAAATCACTTTCTTCTTAGCTTGTTCTATCCATCTCTCGAAAATGTGGGCGTATCCTGCCTGGCAGCCGCTGGTTTGTTTTTAGCTTGTTCTCTGTCCATCTCTTGCAAAATGTGGACGTATCCTGCCTGGCAGCCGCTGGTTTAACTATTATAGCAGAACAGTCAGCTCTTTATCTAAATCTTACATAATACATCTTTAATTTAAGGAATGAGGTTACTAAGTATTTTGTACATTCTGTAAATTTAGGTACTATTATTGTCCCCAGAATCAATTTGTCGTATTGTGTATAGTTTCATTGTAGATCAATACCATGATTAAATTTGATAATGAACCCCACTTTGCTGATAACCTTGTTAACTCAATAGCGGCTACAGTTTTAGTCAGATTGTTTTAAGCTTGTGCACACATGTACACTAGGGATCATATTTTTGAAGGCAAATTCAGTGACAAATTTTCCAAAATTTAGATAAGATGTGCAAGAAATAAAGAAGAATTAGTAAAATTCATAAATGTCAGTAATTTAAGGTTCGAAATAGCTGTATTTCAAGGCCAACACCCATTCTTTGTGGAGGGTGGAGGGTAGGCCTAAGGTTTAGAGAGATTGTGTGATTAGATGCTGAGATATAAGGACATAGTAAAGTATATATAATTAAAATATTTTTGTATGTAATTTCCAGAGATGGGTGTCATGCCAGAAATTGGCAAGGCTGTTGAAGAGATGGATTGGAGGTAAGTGCATTGTGTTCAATTTCAGTATGAACATCATGTAATTTGATACAGAAAAATTTCTGAAAATGCAACTGTATTATGTTATTGTTTGGGCCATTATGCATGCTAGTCATGCATTAAGCAAATTGATATACTTTGAAAGTATTTCTTTGTCAAGAGAGCTTCCCACTGCAATGAGATGTAATAATTGGTAAAATAATCAATGTATTATTTAGCTTGCCTACAGATGTACAGAATGAAGCAATACCAATGATATTAGGAGGAGGAGATGTTTTGATGGTATGTTCATTAATTTATTAATAATCGGGTTATACAAAAAATTAGTCTGGTTCTCAGATACTGCCACATCTCTTGAAAAGGGCTGCATGAATTGTTTACATTTTGTAAAATAAAAACATCCTCAGTGACTACTGCTCATTCATATTTCCTGTGTCAAAGGGAATTAGTAATTCCATTAAACAGTCAAGTCAAAATTGTCCGTACAGAGTTGTTATTTGGGGAAAATTAAAGAGAAAGGGACAGGTTATTTTGCCCCTAAAATTGATTATCTTGCTAATGTGAATATGTCAGTAATAGACTTTAGGCATAATACTTGTCCTACCCCTGTGAAAATACACACTGAAATATCAGTGAAATTTCACTGAAATTTCAATAATATTTTGACCAAATCTGTTACTGAAATTTCATTGAAATCTCACTGAAATTTCAATAATATTTTGACTAAATCTCTCACTGAAATTTCATTGAGATTTTACTGAAATCTTGTTGAAATTTTACTGAAATCTCATTACTATTTAAAAGTCTTTATTAACATTTTCAAAGTCTTTATTAACATGCATTCTGAAAAAAAACCTCCAAACAATTATAATATAACTATATTATTAATTATCTCTCGAATTTCTGTATTCCGTCTTCTAAATTTTCTTTTTCTTGTAGTGTTGTTCTTTTCTTCTTCCATAATAAAAATATATGGCCTAAAATGACACAATCAAATTAATATTAGATAAAGATAGGCATGTGCCATGCAGTGTACTATTACAGAATTCAGCAGTTTCAAAATTATCCTGTCAAAATCAAAGCATATAATATAAATTTTGGAAACCAGGGATAAATGTGCATCAGCTGTCACTAGTGGCAGGCATTTACTTCTAAACACACAAGATTATAACACTGATAATATACTCTTAAAATATCTTTTGATTTATTTTTAGTGGATCCGTAACCTATATAGACAGAAGGGTTTAACCTTATTTTTTTAAAACTAAACATAGCCAGGTCACACATATAATTTGCATGACGAAAGTTAATACCAATAGCCCGATCTACTAGAATTTAAACAACTACTCACCATGGCTGCTTTTGCAAATACGCCTTATCAGTACATCCATTTTATAATTAACTACTTCGAAATTTATCCAACAAACCATTCTGTGATAGGTGTTTTTGGGTCATATAATCCAGAAAATAAGGTGCACAAACACAACTCTATTATCCCAAATTCGCACCTTTTTCCAGGAATTTCAACATTTGATTAAAAATGCGGAACCCTTACGTGAAACAGTGAAAAGAACGTAGGTTAATTAGCCTGTTAATCTGTATAAAATAGCAGCACCAGTTTATCAATTTAGCAATGAAACAGGCACACAAGGTCCTTTTTTTTTTGCATGAGAGTTTCATATAATTTACAACCATAATAGAATTAAAAAAATTTTCGTTTGTTTTCCATTCTTAAATTTTTGAAAACACTGCCCCTAGTCTGTAACCTGACACTCTTGGAATCTCCTGATCAGTCATTGTTTACGCTAATCGACAATGACTTCAAAAATTGAATTTAGGATGGTTTAGATTTATTCTCTTTTCACAATGAAAGAGGTTGGTTTCAAAACATGATTATATTAATTGATCGTAAAATATTTACTGTCAAATTAAATTTACGGGTGCCCTAATTGATGACCTCGTTTCCAAATATGGCTATTGAAACACGTGTGTTACGTTTTAGAAAATAGCCATTCTATCACAATACATTGATTATCGGAAAAAAAATCTGATGTTGAGTCCTTCATAGAGACATTATTTTAAACATGTAGTTAATATTACTTAGCACGTGTTCGTGGATTACACAGGGTGATGGACGAATAAAATAAACGTCAATAAAATTGTCTACTTTAGGAAATAACGTGATTAATTAATGGAAATTAAAAACACTTTGTCTTCTGACACTATTAGGCCATAACTTCAAAGTGCTCTCTGTCACAAATTACAAATCTTTATATGCAGTTATTAAAATATATGCAATGAAAAAATGACATTTTTATGTTCTGTAATTTCAGTGAAATTTGAATGAAATTTTCAATATAAATATTTCATTGAAATTCCAGTAGACCAAAATATATTTTATTTTCAGTGAAATTTCAGTAATAGACCAAAATATATTTTTATTTCAGTGAAATTTTGGTGAGATTTCAGTGAAATTTTGGTGAGATTTCAGTGAAATTTGGTCATTTCAGTGAGATTGGGCAAAATTTTCAAATTTCACTGAAATCTCACTGAAATTTCAGTATCATTTTCTCTGGGGTATGATAATGGTTTTTATACGTCATATTGTCGTCGTCCCTGTTTGAACGTCTGTCCACAATTTGTTTGTGGACACTGTATAGGTCACAATTCTAATCCGATTTTGATGAAACTTGGAATGGATAGGTTTATCTCCCAAAGATCTTGGTTCCTTTCGATATTGGCATGTATCCGATGGTAACTTCATGGATTATGGCCCCTTATTGTACGAAAAATCACATGGACACTCTATAGAGGTCACAATTTTGATATTGGTCTATATCGAACAGTAACTTCCTGGATTATGGCCCCTAATTTTTATCTGATTTTAAAAACTGTTCAAATATATCCACGTTACCCCCTAATGACGATTAAGTTCGGTTCCTTTCGATATTCGGACCTATTGGACCGTAACTGCATGGATTATGGCCCCTGATTGTACAAAAAATTGCCGTCTTAGCTTAGGAATCCTCCAGAGATAACTATTTTTAGTCGGTTTTAAAAAAATGTTAAAATATATCACCATTATGGTTGAGTTTGAATTTGGTAAATTTTTATCCGATTTTGATGAAACATGAAATGTATGTTTATAACCCAAATATATCCAGTCTTGTTGATTTTCGCGCATATCGCACCGTAACTTCCTGGATTATGGTCCCTGATTTTACAAAAAAATCACTTTTTTTAGCTTGTGGAACTAGAGGTCCCAATTTTTATCCGATTTTAAAAAAACCATTGAAACATATCACTGTACACCCTAATGATGGTTAAGTTAAAATTTTGTGAAAATCAGACCCAAACTGCCCGACAAAATGGCTGCTACTTGTACACAAATAGTGTAAAAATATGTAATACCAAGGTTGTGGAGCCTCTAGAAGTCACAATTTTTATATGATCTTGATGAAACTTAAAATATATATTTATATCCCCAAAATTTTGGTTCTTTTTGATATTCATTATGTCGGACCATAACTTCCTGGATTAGAGCCCCTGATTGTACAAAAAATCACATTTTTTTTAGCTTGTTCTCTATCCATCTCTTGCAAAATGTGGGCGTATCTTGCGTGTCAACCACTTGTTTTAAAGAGATTTTCCATTTTACAAGTGCCTGTGATATAAGAGAGAGATTAGTGGGATTGTTTATTGGAGTACAAGGAAAGAACCCTACCAAACTTCTGAATTTTTGGATGGACAATTTTGAGTACGATCATGTTCTCCTCTTCCCCATATTAACTTCTGAAACTTGTACAGCGCCATCCCTATTTATGTTCCAACTCATGATATATTGTGAATTAGATACAGGATAGAGTTTGGGATGAAACTGCATTAACTTGGATTTAAAAGGGCTACAGACCACTTTTCAGCTTGTGGGTATACTATATCCTGAATATATTCTTTATAGATACATATGTCATACTAAATCGTTTACCAATCTCAATTATATTTTTAGGCAGCTGAAACCGGAAGTGGTAAAACTGGGGTTAGTATACATTCTTCTAACCAATATAGTTGTTATGAATTCTTGTCAACAATTTATAGGATTGCAGGGAACGGAAGGTATCAGAAGGCTGATTAAATTTTAATATGATCTTAAAGATGGCACCTTTAAATCTTTAATGACAAAATTTCTACAAGTGTATTGTCTGAAACCTATGGTATAATATTGTCGTCACCTCCCATCAGTCCATCCAACTTCCCTTATTAATGCTCTACACACTACATTTCTTGTTAGATTTCGAATTTGCATGAATTGTTCATTTGGTCGTAAAAAAAAAGAAACCTATTGAAGTTCAAATTTATAAAACTTGATGGGATTATTCATTAGAGTATAAGAAAGAACCCTATTAAATTTCAAATGTGCTGAACATATTTCATAATGCAAAAGATGTATCGGTAATAAATTTGGCACAAAAACTGCACAATATTTCAATGCAAATGCAACAAGACCCAATAGGTCACTGTGCCTTTACGAGCAATTAAGAATTTTAAACAGCTTTTTTATAATGAAGATAAACGATGCTTAGAAATCGTGAACTATTGTTGTTACAGACTTTTCACTTTCAGTATTTATCTAATAAATGATTCTCAAATATTATTGAATATATCAAGCAGGTACAGGTACATATTTTTGGATATTGTTTTTTTGTTATAATCATAAATATTCGAAATATGATCTTCTACATAAGAGATTATCAAGCTTATTAACCCTTTTTCCTGAAGTTGACAACAACCTTTAGTGACATATTTCTGGTTGGTTCCTTCAAAATGGTTTAAGAACCCTTGGGAGGACCTTATGGAAAATGTTGTGAATTTGCAGGGATTGTGTTGACATTCATTTTAGATTTAGCACAAGCAACATGTCTGCAGGTGGACATATAATAATGGGTGCCTGACAATCACCCATTGTATTTAGATGTGTATGTCACAGTGTATCAAAAACTATAAGTGCAATAGTTGTTTAAATTTTGATTCTTGATTTCTTGTAGGCATTTTGTTTACCAATATTACAAATAGTACATGAAACTATTAGAGATCTACGAGAGGGAAAAGGTCTTCAGAATCAAAGTAGTCGTCTTAAGGGATCTGGCGGCTCAGGTATTTACAATACAAATTTTATACTTTCACTTTGTATTTAATGCTGGTTACGTTACATGTCATTATGAGAGGTATAATTTATTTTTGTCCCACACCTTTTGAAGAAAGCAGGGGACTATTAAAATGGGTTTGTCTGTCAGTCTGTCGGTCCGTCCGTCTATCAGGATGTCTGTCTGTCACATTTTTGGACACAATAACTGTCCTTCTAATTGAGTTAGAATGTTCAAACTTGGTGTAGGTGTTTATTAGGTCAGTCCCTTGATGGAGTTCAAAGATGAGCAAGTTATAATTAAGTGAGAGTGATGAAATTTGGTGTATAGTTTTATTACGTTAATACATTGACTAACTTCAATAATGAGCATTTTCTGCTCAGGTTAAGCAGAGTGATAAGCAATTTGATTGGTCGAGACTTTGGAACACAATAATTCTCATTCTAATTTAGCCAGCATGTTCACCCTTGGCATAGGTGTTTATTTGGTGAATGGCATGACGGAGTTCGAAGATGAGAATTTTCTGCTTATGGTAAGCAGAGATAAGTAATTTGATTGGTTGATGCTTTGGGATACGATAACTTTAGTTCTAATTAAGTGAGAGTGAAGACACATGGTGTATAGTTTTATCACATCAATACCTTGACTAATTCAATAATGAGCATTTTCTGCTCAGGATAAGCAGAGCGATAACCAATTTGATTGGTCGAGACTATGGAACACAATAACTCTCCTTGTAATTGAGGTAAAATGTTCAAACTTGTCGTAGGCGTTCATTAGGTTAATGCTTTGAAGGAGTTCAATGATAAACATTGTCTGCTTATGGTTAGCATTGGTTAGCTTATGGTTAGCTTTGGTTATAATTAAGTGAAAGCTATGAAACTCATTATATTATATTCATTATATCATTACCTTGACTAAGTTTGGTGAGAATTTTCTGCTTAGGCTAAGGGCAATAAGCAATTTGATTGGTAAATACTTTGGCAAATAACAACTCTGCTTTTAATTGAGGTAGAATGTTTAAACTTGATGTTGATGTTCATTAGGTGAATGTCTCGACTGGGTTCAATGATTAACATTTTGAGCTAAAGCTAAGCAGAGGTAAGAATTTCATTGGTCGATGCTCTGGGACAAGTATATCTGTGAATCTATCTGAAAGAGAGTGATGAAACTTAGTGTATAGTTGATAATCAGTTTGATTGCTTGATACTTTTGAAAAAAATTGATGTGCTATTAATTAATATGCGTCATCTATTTATTTTGGGATTTCAGCGGGGGAACATCAGCCTCACTGTTGGCTTGTTATTAATGATATGAAAAATGAAGCAAAACTTGATAGTTGAGATCAAGCAACAACAATGATTTGATGAAATTTTATTTCTTTGATATATTTTAGCAAAGAGCCAAAAATGGAAAATGAATTCATATGACAGAGGAAATGCCATGGGTAGGTCATCAATTTAATATACATACATTGTGCTTATTTAATTTGTTGTTGAATTCTTAAACTTTTACACATTGAAAGCCTTAAATAATATAATGAATTTATAGAGCACCTACACTCCAGTAAGATTACTTCTCCTTGGGGCAGAAGTGATTTAAGGACACAATTAATTCTCACAGGCTTCATTTTGATGACGGAAGGTGGAGAAGTATGTCCATCATATACAACTGGCGGTAGTTTTTTCTTTGATGTCTATAGCAGTTATATCTCATACCAACCTGTCATGATGTCATCATAGGTTGATATATTCGGTTCATATCAACTGCTGATGACGTCATGACAGGTTGATATTTCATATCAACCGCTAATGACGTCATCTCAGGTTGACATATTCGGCTCATATCAACCGGTGATGATGTAGATGATCGAAATAATACAAAGAACACAGAAATAATTTTTTATTCTTTTGACAATTAAAAATTGTTATGGTACAGTTTGTAGCATTCAGGACCGAAATAGATTGTGTACTTATCGGCATATTTAAATCGGTTATCCATACTCCATGTCTAAGATGTCTTTCAGAATTTTCTTTACGTCCACATTTCGATTATTTCTCCACACACTCCAAGACTTGAAAGTATTTATCGCCCAAGAGTTCCTTTGTAAAGTATTTTTGGGTACAGTCCACTTAAAACAGTCAGTCAAATCCTTCTCTGAACATACCGAAAACCTTCAATCATGGTTCACTGTCAGAATTATCGGAAAAGATTGCCTTTTGATCCAAATTTACTTCAGGCTTTGGATAGATCCTCATTGATATTTGCATTCACATCTATTCCATCATCAATATGTTGGCTAAAAAGGATTGATTATTCATCTGACCTTGTATAACTATCCATTATGTTTTTGCTTTCAATTCAATTATTCCAAAATGGCGACGTATAAACAAAAACATGAACGTACATTCGCGTGATAACTTCGGTAATTTTCGCTATTTGGCGGAAATTATTGAGCAATTATCCAATCATTGTTGCCTTTTAATAGAAGAGCCCATTAAATTTAAGGGTGAAATGGCGTTGTATATGTCGGATATAAACCTACTCTCCCTTGGATTGATATGATAGAGAACATGCAGGCTTTGGATAGGTTAATATCCTATACATAAGAATACAGATGCAATATTAATTCATGATATGCACTCACTAATAGTTAACAATCAACCTCCATTTAATTAAAACAAAGTTGACATTTTGGTTGAAAGTTTAATTATAACCCAGCAAATACCATGATAATATGTTACAATCTTATATGTAATTACAGCTATAGATCCAGAGGGTCTATTATGTCAGGCGAGAGATGCAGCAGGTTGGCATGGTACTAGATCTAACAGGGCTGTTGTTGGTGGAGGTAAGTCTTATTATAAGTGATGAAAGTTTTGAGCATTTCTTATCATTTTAGGTTTTTATACGCCCACATTTCATTGGCTTGTATTATGCAATCGCCTTGACTGTCCGGAAGTCTGTTCACATTTGTTTTTGGACACTAAACTTTAGAGTCTAAAGGTCACAATTTTTATCCGATTTTGACGAGACTTAAAATATATGTTTATATCCCTAATATCTCGGTTCCATTCGATATTGGCCCATATTGGACCATAATTTCCTGGATTATGGCGCCTGATTTTGCAAAAATTATTGTCCCTGATTATGTGAAATATCATGTTTATGTTTTTTATCCGTCCACATTTTGATTGTGGACACTGTACAGGTCACAATTTTTATCCGAATTTGACGAAACTTGATATATAGGTCTATCTCCAAAAGATCTCTGTTCCTTTTGACATTGGCAATTGGCATGTATCGGACCATAACTTCATGGATTAAGGTCCAGATTGTATGAAAAATCACGTTTTTAACTTGTGGAAAATCACGTTTTTAACTTGTGGACACTTTCGAGGTCACAATTTTGATCCGATTTGGTTTAAACTTGAAATGTATCACCATTACACCCAAAGGATGGTTGAGTTTGAATTTCGTAAAAATCAGACCGAAAATATGGTATATCAAGTTTGTGGACCCTCTAAAGGTCACAATTTTCATCCAATTTTGATGAAACTTGGAATGCATGTTTATATCCCAAAGATATGAAACTTGAAATATAGGTTTATCACCCAAAGTTATCGGTTTCTTTCGATATTGGCATGTATCGGACTGTAACTTCATGGATTATGGCCCCTGATTGTACAAAAAATCACGTTTTTAGCTTGTTAACACTGTAGAGGTCTCAATTTTTATCCGAATTGGTTTAAATATATCACCATTACACCCTACAACCATTACAACCATTACACGGTTGGACAAAATGACCGCCCCTTGTTCGCAAATAGAGTCAAAATATCGTGTATCAGGGTTGTGGACCCTGTCGAGGTCACAATTTTGATCTGATTTTGATGAGACTTGAAATGCATGTTTATAACCGAAATATCTTGGTTCCTGTCCATTTTCATACATATCGAATCGTAACTTCCTGAATTATGGCCCGCAGATTGTAGGCCTACGCAAAATCACGTTTTTAGCTTGTGGTCCCTCTAGAGGTCACAATTATTATCTCATTTAAAAAACCGTTTGAATATATCACCGTAATTTTGTCTGAGTTTGAATTTCATGAAAATTGGACCAAAACTGTCGGACAAAATGGCTGCCCCTCGTATGCAAATAGTGTAAACATCTGGTATATCAAAGTCGTGGACCCTCTGATCCTTTTTTATGAAACTTGAAATGCAAGTTTATAACCCAAGGATCTCGGTTCCTTTCAATATTTGCGCATATCAGATAGTAACTTCCTGAATTATGGCCTCTGATTGTACGAAAAATCGCATTTTTAGCTTATGGTCCCTATAGAGGGTCACAATTATTATCTGATATAAAAAAAAACGTTCGAATATATCACCGTTACACCGTAATGTTTGTTGAAACTTAAAATACATGTTTATAACCCAAAGATATTGGTTCCTTTCAATATTCGCGCATATCGGATCGTAACTTCCTGAATTATGGCCCTTGATTGGACATAAAGTCACGTTTTTAGCTTGTGGTCCCTGTAGAGGTCACAATTTTTATCTGATTTAAAAAAAACATGTGAATATATCACCAGTACACACTAAGATCTTGGTTCCTTTTGATAATTGCGGATACCTGAACTTAACTTCCTGGATTATGGCCCCTGATTGTTTGAAAAATCGCATTTTTAGCTTGCGGATGTGTGTAATACGAAGGTTGTGGACCCTCTAGAGGTCACAATTTTTATCTGATTTTGATGAAACTTAAAACATATCGTCATATCCCGAAGATCTCATATCCCGAAGATATTTGCACATTTCAGGCCATAACTTTCTGGATTATTGCCCCTGATTGTACAAAAAATCGTGTTAGATTTTAGCTTGTTCTCTATCCATCTCTTGCAAAATGTGGGTGTATCCTGCCTGGTAGCCGCTGGTCTGATACTGGCAATAGTAGTAAAATGCTAATATTTTAGATCATTGACTGATAAAAGACAAACGTTTCATCGATTTCATCGAATAAATGAAAATAGTAATTTATTCAGGAGTATTACTGACGTGAACTTGAAAGCTGGTACGTGAATTAAATATGGAAAATTTTCACATACATCAGAATACGACATTCTCCATAACAATTTACCAAGAATTAAGTCCCGTTATATTAAAGGGATATGGAAGCTTATAATTAACCCATTTCCTACCACGACCTCATATTTGACCCAATTCTGGCCGGTTTGTTTCAAAATGGATTAAGAACCCTGCTCTAGAGGCCACAGTTTTTATCCGATTTAGATGAAACTTTAAAGATATGTTTTTATCATATTGATCTTAGTTCCTACACATATCCGAATGTGACTTCCTGGATTATGGGCCCTGATTGGTCGAAAAATCACATTTTTTTTCTTCGATTTTAAAAACCGTTTAGATATATCACCATTCCACCATAATGAAGGTTGAATTCAAATTTCAGGAAAATCTAAATGAAATTGCCCGACAAAATGGCCGCTCTTTGTACGCAAATTGTGTACAAGTTTTTAATACAAAGGTTATGGACCCTCTCGAGGTCACAATTTTTATTCTCAATCCCTGTGCATTTCAGACCATAACTTCCTGGATTATGGTCCCTGATTGTACAAAAAAAAAAGCATTTTTGTTTTTAGTTTGTTCTCTATCCATCTCTTGCAGAATGTGGGCGTATCCTGTCTCGCAGCCGCTGGTTATACAATTTTGTTGAAATTTGAACTATATGTTCTTATCCCAAAGATATTGAATGAGTTCTATTTTGGTGCACATCAAAACTCAACTTTTTATTGTCCCCCGCCTTTCGAAGAAAGCAGGGGACTATTAAAATGGGTCAGTTGGTCTGTCTGTCTGTCTGTCTTGTCTTGTCTTGTCCTGTCCGTCAGGACATCTGTCTGTCCGACACACTTTTGGGACACAATAACTCTCCTTCTAATTGATCTAGAATGTTCAAACTTGGTGTAGGTGTTTATTAGGTCAGTGCCTTGATGGAGTTCGAAGATGAGCATTTTCTGCTTAGGGTAAGCAGAGATAAGCAATTTGATTGGTTGATGCTTTGGGACACGATAACTTTAGTTCTAATTAAGTGAGAGTGATGAAACTTGGTGTATAGTTTCATTACATCAATACCTTGACTAAGTTCGATATTGAGCATTTTCTGCTCAAGGTAAGCAGAGCGATAAGCAATTTGATTGGCCGAGACTTTGGAACACAATAACTCTCGTTCTAATTGAGCTAAAATGTTCAAACTTGGTGTAGGTGTCTATGGGGTTAATGCTTTGACGGAGTTCGAAGATGAGAATTAGGTGAGTGCCTTGATGGGGTGTGAAGATGAGCATTTTCTGCTTAGGGTAAGTAGAGATAAGCAATTTGATTGGTTGATGCTTTGGGACATGATAACTTTACTTCCAATTAAGTGAGAGTGATGAAACTTGGTGTATAGTTTCATTACATCAATACCTTGACTAAGTTCGATATTGAGCATTTTCTGCTCAGGGTAAGCAGAGCGATAAGCAATTTGATTGGCCGAGACTTTGGAACAGAATAACTCTCGTTCTAATTAAGCTAGAATGTTCAAAATTGGTGTAGGTGTTTATGAGGTCAATGCCTTGATAGAGTGTGAAGATGAGCATTTTCTGCTTATGGTAAGTAGAAATAAGCAATTTGATTGGTTGATGCTTTGGGACACGATAACTTTAGTTCTAATTAAGTGAGAGTGATGAAACTTGGTGTATAGTTTCATTACATCAAGTTCGATGATGAGAATTGTCTGCTTAGGCTAAGGAGCAATAAGCATTTTGATTGGTCAAGACTTTGGAACATAACAACTCTGCTTCTAATTGAGGTAGAATGTTTAAACTTGATGTAGATGTTCGTCTTGACTTAGTTCAATGATTAACATATCGAGCTAAAGCTAAGCAGAGATAAGCAATTTCCTTGGTCGATGCTTTGGGACAAGATAACTTTGATTCTATCTGATAGAGAGTGATGAAACTTAGTGTAGCCTATAGTTGATAATCAGTTTGATTGCTCGATACTTTTGAAAAAAATAGATGTGGGTATAATTAATATGTGTCATTTATTTATTTGGGAATTTCGGTGGGGGACATCAGCCTCACTGTTGGCTTGTTTAATACAGCCTGGGTTATTAATTTACATTGAATTATATAGGAAATAGACTTGTATTCACTGTAATCTGAGTATTATTTTATCCTTTGTATTTAGCACTAATTTCTTTCTGTTTTCCGTCCATCTTTTGCAAAATGAGGGTATATCTTCCATGGCAACCATTATAACAGATTTACTATTGCTACTTATTACTGGCATTTTAGCGATGACTGTCAGAAATGAACATAAGCTTTTTTATCCTGTTGTAAAATAAAGTGCCTGAATACGACAGCTGTAGGAATTTTGTGAAATGTATATTATATATCCTTTCAAGTAGTTTATGGTTGTCATTGTAATGAGTTTATTCTATGTTCAGGTAAATATTATTATGAAGGAACTATAACTGATGAAGGATTATGTCGATTAGGCTGGTCAACTGATAAAGGAACTCTTGATTTAGGAACGGATAGATTTGGTTATGGTTTTGGTGGAACCGGAAAGAAATCTTCTGCAAAACAATTTGATTCATATGGAGAAGTAAGCTGATTTGATATGAATAAGATTTCAGATTGACTGAACTGTTTATATGATTGATCTTGATAAATATCGTAGAAATGGGGTTTAATGTCCTATTTTTCTGCACCATCAGAGCAGTGTGCTATAAGAGAAATTTTTCCTGGACAATTCCAACTGTCACAGGTTCTTTATTCTATCCCATCTGAATTACTAGACACTCATCCTTGCCAGGCCCTATGTCTAGCAACACTGACCAAAAGAAACCAATCCTGAAAATCCAGAGGAACTTTCTAGGCAAACACCAGGCTTGAACCCCAGATCTTCTGGTTAGTGAGTCAGCGCCTTACTCACTGAGCTACTGCAGCTCCCAAACATTGAATACCATTGAAAATTGAATCGCTTGAAGCCTTAATACTCCAGATAGCTAATTTCTTAATTTAATTTAACAAAAATAGGGGTGATTGGTGTTCTTTGGAGAGTAAACTAGATAATTAAAAGAAAAAAAAGTAATTTGTCAGCTTGTCCTTGTTTACCATGGATAGAAATGAAGCATTCTACAGCAATCAATTGATTTTCAAAGATAAAAACTTTATGAAATCAGTAGAAAATAATGTGAACTTAAGATGGCCTACTTAGGATTGTTGAATTTTAATCATTTTTAGTCCAATAAGCTTTTGATAAGACAGAATGTGTATATTTGCCTTTTAGTCTGGAATGTTGTGCCTTTGATAGTTTAACTAGATTTATTTGAATATTGACATTTCAGCCATTTGGAATTAATGACACAATTGGTAATTACTTAGATATGGAAAAAGGAGAAATCAGATGGTCTAAAAATGGTAAGGCTAGAAAAACCCATTTTATATTTTCGCCTTCTTTCATCTAGACAGACTGCCCATCAACAAATGCCTTAACACGATAGTGGCTAAGTTTTTATACGCCCACATTTTCATGTGGATGGATATTGTCGTCGTCGCCCCTGTCCGTCCGTCCGTCCACAATTGTTTGTGGACAGTCTACAGGTCACAATTTTTATTCAATTTCAACGAAACTTGAAATATAAGTTTATGTTCCTGAGATCTTGTTTCCTTTCGATATTGGCATGTATCGGACCGTAACCTCATGGATTATGGCAACTGATTGTACGAAAAATCACGTTTTTAGTTTGTGGACACTGTAGAGGTCACAATTTTTATCTGATTTTGTTGAAATTTGAAATGTAAGTTTATAAACCAAAGATCTTGGTTTCTTTCGATATTCGCGCATATCGGACTGTAACTCCTGAATTATGGCCCTTGATTGTTAGATAAATCATGTTTTTTAGCTTGTGGACCCCATAGAGGTTACAAGTTTATTCCGATTTAAAAAAACGATTGACTATATCACCGTTACACCTTAATGACAGTTGAGTTCAAATTTCGTGAAAATTGGACCAAAACTGCCAGACAAAATGGCCGCCCCTCGTACGCAAAATGTGTAAACATCTGGTATATCAATGTTGTGGACCCTCAAGAGGTCACAATTTTGATCCAATTTTGATGAAATTTGAGATACATATTTATAACCCACAGATCTTGGTTCCTTTCAATATTTGCGCATATCAGATTATAACTTCATGAAATATGGCCCTTGATTGTACAAAATTTAGAGGTCACCATTGTTATCCGATTTAAAAAAAAAACGTGTGAATATATCACCGTTACACACTAAGATCTTGGTTTCTTTTGATAATCACGCATATCCGAACATAACTACCTGGATTATGGCCCCTGCTTTTTCTAAAAATCGCATTTTTAGCTTGCGGATTCTCTAGAGGTCACAATTTATTTTCAGATTTTAAAAAACATTTAAATATATCACCATTCCATCATAATGAAAGTTGGATTCGAATTTCGGGAAAATTGAAATGAAACTTCCCAACAAAATGGCCGCTCTTTGTTTGCAAATTGTGTAAAAGTATGTAATACGAAGGTTGTGGACCCTCTAGAGGTCACAATTTTTATCCGATTTTGATGAAACTTGAAATGTATGTTCATAACCCAAAGATCTTGGTTCCTGTCGATATTCTCACATATCAGACCATATCTTCCTGGATTATGGCCCCTGATTGTTCAAAAAATCACATTATTTTTTTAGCTCGTTCTCTGTCGATCTCTTGCAAAATGTGGGCGTATCTTGCGTGGCAACCTCTTGTTAACAGATTGTGTGAACATATTTAAAGTCTTGGTTCATCATTTAAAGGATTGTTAATCGCTTGCAAACTATAATATTGTAATAGCTGTTAATCAGTCCAAATTTCCATTCAGTACTTGCAAAGATTGGATTAATTGGAAATTCAGCATCCACTTCAGACGAAATATAAGATGAAGTTACCACCACCATGATTTGCATTTTTATTCTGATGGAATCCGAGTCAGGATATTAACTTCTGTTGATATTTTGTTTTCTTACTTAATAATAATCAATTTGAAGCAAATTTAAATTGGATTTTATTTGTATAGGATTGTTATACTCATCTTAAATATTTTTTGAATAAAACTATTTGCCAACATGTATGTCATTGTTCCGGCTGACAAAGCGTCCAATAACATAGTGTTTATATGTAAACGATATTATTATGACTGTCTGTTCAAAGAACTTAGTTTCAGGAAATCAATCGACAGTGCTACGAATAAACGCTCTACTCTTGGTAAGGATGAAATTATATCCAATCACAGATCTGTACTCACTTCATTTGGTACTCTGTGTGGAGATACCTATACAGATCTGCCTTTGTTATATTGGATACCTAAACTACATAAAAATCCCTACAAGCAACATTTTATAGCAGGTTCATCCCGTTGTTCCACAAAACCACTTTCAAAAGTATTGACATCTATACTAACAGCAGTTAAAGAGGGTATTCAAATATACTGTGACAAAATATACTCTCGTAGTGGTATTAATCAAATGTGGATATTAAAAAATTCCAAAGAATTACTTGATGGTTTGCAATCTAGATCACTTGCTTCAGTTTCATCTATACAAACGTTTGACTTTTCTACTTTGTACACTAAAATTCCCCATAGTAAATTAAAAGCTCGGTTAAAAGAATTCTTCAAAGTGTCTTTTCATCTAAATCTGGAACTGTTAGATTTCAATATTTAGTTGTTAATTACAATTCCACATATTTTGTTAAGAACCATAGTGATTCCAAAAATAAATTCACCACCAACAACTTAACAAGATAATTCAGATGTTGGATTTTTTAATTGATAGTATCTTTGTTGAATTTGGAGGGGAAATATATCAGTAAGTGGTAGGTATCCCCATGGGCACCAACTGTGCACCTTTGCTTGCTGATTTGTTTCTATATTCCTACGAAGCCGATTATATACAGGCACTTGTAAAAACAAATAAACGATTAGTCAGACATTTTAATTTCACTTATCGACATATATCGATGATGTTCTATCACTAAATAATCCCAAATTTAGTGATTATGTAGAATTCATGTATCCTGATGAGCTTGAAACTATGGCGTATGCCCGTCTACTAAGCCCAGTTTAGGAGCAAGGCCCTGTTTCACAAAAACTTAAATCTCCTTAAAATCGTCTTAAACTAAAATTCCATCCTAACTTAAGATAGATGCGTTTCACAAAACGATTTTAAGCATTTTAGGTAAAATCCACTAAAATTATATTGTAATTTGAAATTGTATCTTAACTTACAATGGTGGCGTTTCACAAAACTATTTTAGGCACAATTTTAACTAAAATCTATTGTAACTTAGGACAGCCGTCACCCTCTCCTAACTTAAAATCACAACATTAACAAACATTAATTAGAGCTACGTTGTGAGATCTATTGCGACATATAGATATATTTGGAATAATGATAATATTGCCAATGGCCCGGGTTATATAATTTAAACATACTATTATTCACAAAAATAATTTTCATTCAATTTCTTTTCATTGCATGGGAAATATAAGCAATTAGATGACGCCCCAAATTAAAACCCCAAGATCAAAAAAAAAAAACCCTCAAAACCCCAGTAAACAAAACCCTTTGTTACTATTTTATATATTACCATATGATTCAAGTATAAATTATACTTTTTTCAAATAATTAATAGGCAAAACACCCTAAAAGAAAATCTAAACCCACTTCATCCTACAATTGTTTTATTTGAATAATTCACTTGCGCGTAGGGGTCTTTAGTAGTGGTGGGAGGAACCAGAGAAAACCCACGAGGCTGGACGGGCGACCCTACTCCATGTCACGTACAACCAGGGTTGTACAACCGGGGAATCGAAACCCTGTCAGTCCTATAATACTAGATACGCCATATGCAAAGTATTAATTATGGTTTTGGGGTTATGATGATTTATATAGGAGCCAAGGGTATTTTATATTGTGAAAAAAATCATTTTAATTTAATAAGATAGATAGGCATTATCCAATAAAGAGTGTGGCACTTTGGTATTTTCAAATCTAGGCATCGGAACATTGGTTATTTCGTGCATTAGTTTAAAAGTTATTAAATACTTTTAAAATTCGACAATACTTTAGTCTAGATTAATCGTTTGAGTCAGAAATATCACATGTTTGTGACAATTTCTCAATAGTTTCTGATATCCAAAATACCACAAAACTACGAAATTCAAGCCATTTAGTTTATCGATACGCATTATTTCCATTGAAGCCTGCGAGTAAATCCAATGCCAAGGTCACGAAAGCAACATGTAAGTTCAAGCCCAACCAACTGATACATTTCAAAACAAGTAACACGCAATAAACTTATTTATTTCATCTCTCTACGACTCTCTGACCATGTGCAGGCATTGTTACAACGTATGAAACTCTCCTCATTGGTATTGTAACGGTTAGTTCAACCTGGCAACAGTTTTCAGTTTCGAAGCGTGAATGCTTACACCCTAAGTGCCCTCGCCGGATTGTGCACTGCGCGAGCGCAAGCAATTTTAACTGAAATATTTTAAAATTGCATTTTAAGTTACAATCAATCTTCGTGAAACGCATAAAATTTAAAATTTCAGTTTGATTTTAATTAAAATCTATTTTAGTGATTTTAGTTTAAGTTTTTGTGAAACAGGGCCCTGAACAGTAGGACGTTAAACCCCATTTCATTTCATTTTGAAATTAAAAACACTACTGACAGTGACAATTACGCCTCCTACTTGGATCTGCATATCGATTTTGACAATTGCCATAAATAACTGTAAATGCATGTGTCTTAAAATTGGTCGCACGCAATATCGTTATTTACCGATATCCCGCCAAACCTCCATTTGATTATCCGATATATTCTAATCTCTATTGATATCAGATGCTCTAATCTGTTTTGAAAGCACAATTATAAACAAAAAATCTTGCAATTAATGATGACCTGTAAGTTTCGTTGCTGTTATATTTTATAAATGTATTTCTTACCTGGGTCGTAAATAGGTCTATCCAAGGAAACAGAATTCTAACACTATATAACAATAGATAAATCACATACCAAATAACACTAATCATGTCTAAAAATAGGGACTCGCGTCCGCTTTCAACACGTTTAGCTGATCGTCAAACATCTTCTGGTATTCTCTGATTCCATCACACTTTGTGTAACAAGCTTGTCTTTGCATGCACAATACCAACCTATGACGAACTATGGATATGGGTTTTATAAGAACAGCTAAATTTAAACACATAACTTAATATTCCCATGGTAGTCGATTGCATGAAATAGCTTTATTATTATACTCCACGGCACTGATAAACCACAGGTACAGTGGATTCAGTCTCATCCTTATTATATAATTTATACTATCCGGAGAGCACGCTTTTCACACGAAATTTCTCTTTGATCTCAGATCGAAAGGCTTCACTGTTAGATCGTGCTCTAATGGATTAGCTAAAATAGTTGGTTGGAGTGTGACTACAGTATTTTTACCTGTGACAGTTTATTCCAGGATAACAAAGTACAACAAAAAGGAATATTTTGTCATGTGTGTGCATATTGTGGTCTATTCATAGTTGGTCTTATTGTAATAACATAAATGTATGTTTCACTATTCTATCATCTCATTTAGGTAAAGCTTGATATTTTATTAACAAGTATACAGTTTATTTTGTTTCTCATAGGAAATTTCAGTTGGTATCTCAAATGAAAAACCCCAGCCCAATCCATTATATTATAATCAGAGAAATGTTTAAACAAGTAAAATAGACAAGACAAAAATACAAGCATATCATTATTTATTATTACATTATGGATATGCATATGCCTTCATAATTAAACATTTTAATTAAATTGTAACGTATAAATTATCTGCTTTATTTATTTTTTCTTTAATTGGCTGTTGGTATGGCCTGAAGCATTCGCTTCTATACGTATTAGCTCTGTTCCAATAATGACATTTTGTGGAATATTAGGGCGATTCAAAAGAAACATAGTCAACAAGTGAAATTTAAGAGTGAGCTAGAAAAACGTGATGTCATTGAAATGGAGAGATGCAAGGCCTTTCCCTATACTACTATGCCGATATTATCATGTCATACTGAAGTTATAGGACTAAGTTATTTTTCTACAGTACCAGGTATATTTCAAAACAAAAAAAATTGTCGTATTGGAACAATGCGAAAATTTGATGCCTTTGGTTGTTCAGAGCAGGAAGTACGCTTCACTAAACACCAACTTGGATCACCGCTGACCTAGATGCTATATAACAACGGCTAATTGCCAGACTTTATTAGGGGTAATAAAATTGATCATCACCGCAGCTCAACAATTTTAGTAAACGTGTATTATAATGATGGGGCCTGTTTCACAATTTTATCTTTAGTTAAAATTTCGAGAAACAGGACCCAGGTACACATAATTTATCAGAACACAAGAATAATTTTATTGAATAAACCTTGGTTTATTAGAATTCAAAATATGACTGAATTCAAAATATGACTTGTGTATTCTATTTCAAAACCGTAATTTGTCAAACGAACAAATACCACAGCTAGAGATATTTTAATTACATCAAAGGTGTATTAGAAATTATTATTGTTCTGAAATAGTTTTCTTTTATCAGATTTATTAATTAATCTGTTAACATCAAATTCTAGACATGATGTGTTTTATGCACGGTTCTAAAAGTTGAAGACTTTTATGACGTGGGACTCAATTTAGCATAATATATGACCGGAAATATTGCAAATGAAGCTATTTAAGTTTAAAACTATGACTTTAAAATACATGTATAGTGAAAATGTTGAAATTGATAACTACAGCAATAAATTGTTGTTGCAGAAATCGGTCCCTATAAAGACAGTAGTCTAATTCTTTAACACAATTTTACAAGTCAGATGTTCATATACAGTGTTAACAGACCTTTAACAAATAAATCATGCTATAACACTATTCTAAACCTGTATCTATGATTAAAGATCTGTTTTTCGTCAAATATTTTGATTTCGAAATTTTCACAATTAAACAGAATTAACAATAAAAACAAAATCACAAATTACTATGGCATATTATGAAAATCTTTTCAAATAAAGCGACTGAAATAACAAAAAAAAATTTAAAGTCGTTTTAGACTGAAAACTTAACTGATTTCCAAAGGTGATTGCATGCTTTTATAAATAGAACAAGTTGGCGACACATGGAGCACCACAGGTGCCAATCTGTTTCACAGAGAATTACAAGTCTAGTAATATATCTCTGTCAAAGATGACTGCCTTAACACGTGCCGTCACAGCACACGGCGTCAATCATTGGCTGAATGGCGCGTGCATTGTTTACATAACACGTTACTGCTTCGGAGAGAATGCTGCATTTTAGTCATTTTAATACCCATTTACACTAAATAGGAAATAATTTTTACCTATAAATACGTCAAACGCCTTTATTTATTTTTCCAATACATACAAAAAATGTTTTAGAATTTAATTTGTCTCAGGAAAAAAGTTAATATTACTGGCTCATTAAGCCGCATCGATGTCATCCTTATCAGTGATTGTCGAGGTCTAGCAAATATTCACTGCGGATCAGTGTGCACAGGTGCATGTCCCTATTTGCATTAATGTTATTTGATATGTGAATTATCATTTGTTATATATGTGGAAATTACTTTTTTCTTGGATAGTCCTATTTACAACTCAGGTAAGAAACAATACATTTATAAATTAAAACGCCCACGTGCAGTAAATATAGACATGACGAAACCAATAGGTTTTCATTAATTTGTGCGATTTTATATTTATAAACTTGCTTTCGAAACAGATTTGTTAGTCTGATATCAATGGAGGTTGGTCCGGATATCGGTAAATAACGTGCATTTATAGTTCAGTGGTAAGCACGATAATATGTAAACAAATTAAACCCACAAAAAAAACAAATATATAAATAACTGCAGCCCAACTGTGGTACGAAGTATACAACACGTAGTATTCACCAAGAAATGAAATACATATAAAAACGCACATATGTAACTACAGCACGTATAAATCCATGTATAAAGACCTACACTTAACAAAGACCAATCTGTGTAAAACACACGGTCGAACAAGAAATCGCACGGTAAATTGGATTTAACACCTACGCATCAGATTAAGCCTGCTAGTCCTTGATAAGACACTGTTGGTGCAGTTATAACACGCTATCGAGAAAACTCACCAAACAAAGAATACACACCGTGTCAGTCGTTTTTAACCTGTTTGTTAATAAACGCACCTAGTACAGAAAACACACTGTCGCAGAGATTTTCACCCCTAGCGATAATTAATTCCCCTTTCAGTCAATTTCTCACCCCGGTTAATTAACACACCGTATCTACAGATTTTAGCCTCTTCGTATAAGATTTGTTGAGATAATTAGAATTTTACCGAAATTCATACAAATTTACCAAAATTGGTAGATATCTATGCCCTAAACGTACAAATAACACTATTACTGCTTCTCAGTGCATTGGTGAATGCTATAGAATTTTGTTTGGAAAATTCACAAATAGTGCTACTCTGTATGTATAATGGTGTACTTTCAGGTGTAGATCTAGGTAAAGCTTATGATATACCTCGTCAGATGTTGAATGAAAAATTCTTCGCAGCTGTAGTATTAAAGGTTGGTAAATATTTTAGGGGAGAAATCCCCAGGTGCCAATAATATATATCAAAATAATGATAACTATTTATTTATTCATGTATTTAAAGAATATTTCATGTTATATCAGTACATATAGCTTCCTTTTTTCTTGTAGAATGCTGAGATTCTCTTCAACTTTGGAGACAAGCCATTTAAGTTTCCACCAAAGGTATGTAGTCTAATATATGAATAAATTGATTGTCTTTACTGAAAATACATTTTGAAGAAGCATTTCAATTACAGTTTATTTTCATCCTGAAATGGTTTTGTTATTCTAGGGAGAATTCATTGGATTAAGTCAAACACCAAAAGAGAATTTTGTAGAATCTACAATAATTGGTAAATGCTTTTTCTTTTAATAGTACATCCATTTCCTTCTGTCAAACATTAATATCATTGGTTTTCTCCAAGCACTTCTGTTTCCTCGCATGCTTAAAGACCCATGCTTAGAGTTAACAGAATTAAGTAATCAGAAATTGCAGTCTGCTTCTGGAAATAGGGTCAATAAAATTTTATACCCTTTAATTGAATGCAAATATATCTTATGTTATGTAGCATATTGTATTCTTAATAATATTTATGAGAATAAAAATAGGTGTAGGAACGACGTTGGCACCATTTATTTCTGCGGAATGTTTCCTTGAGATGGAAAGGAAAAGTATTAAAATGTTATGATGGCAAATCTGGGATTCCTCCTTTAACCCCAATTTGTCTCTTGTGAAAATCTCTATATTAGATCTATCTATTAAAATTATAAATAATTTCAGCAAAAGGTGCTGTAAGTGCTAAACCTGCTCCAAATGCTCCTCAGGCGATAATTATTGAGGTAGGTCTGCAGCTGTTTTTATTACTAATCTTAAAGATGTATTATATAAGAGCTAAATATTCCTATTTGTAGTACCATGAGTCTTTCTGTCAGACGTGGAAACAGGTCGCAACAGCCGGCGCATAATCCATGCCTTCTTTTCTTACTACATATCTTAATAGCCTTGCGATCGTCTAATATTTTCACTTGTCATCTCTGCTTCCTCTTACTAAACTCAAAGCCATTAAAAACGCAATGCCTAATTCGTGAAATATTTCTGGTAAATGTTTTCTTGGGCTTTCCTATCTTATGGCACATAGGTGAAACTTGTGATGGGAGTTCTGGGTTTGAACCCAATATCAGTTCTCGGTAATGAACTTTGTTCATGCAAACGCAACACTTTTCTTTTTTTTGTTACGATGTTAAGCAGTCCCATGTCACACGTTTTGCACGTGCATTCACTGCACTCTGGCCCTTTAAAAACAGATCAAAATTTCAAAATTCATCACTTTGGAAAAATGCCACGCCTTACACAAGAAAACAGGAACAGGTAGCCATCGCCAGACACTTTAATGTCCACCCATCAACCATTGCTCGCCTCAGACAATGCTTCCACGCCACTGGAAGAGTTGCCGATTGACCCCGACCTGGAGCGCCACCTGTAACAACCGCTGCTCAAGATCGCCACATTCGACTACAGCATCTGCGCAACAGGTTCCAGTTAGCTACTGCTACTGCCAGGGGAACTATTGGACCATGGCAACGTCAGATCAGCCCTCAAGCAGTCCAAAGGTGCCTGGCTGCTCTTGGGTTACGCTGCCATCAACCTTACCAAAGTCAAATCCTTTTGCACCGTCATCGACTTGCCAGGCAGCAATGAGCCGCAAATTAGGGGTATCTGCACAACACACCATTGCGAAATGTCATCTTCTTGGATGAATCCCGATTCAACCTCAGTTTTCCAGATGGACGTCACCGTATCTACCAACGTCGACATGAACGTTTTGCTCGTAAATGCGAGCTGGAAAGGAATCATTTCGGGGGAGGTGGCGTCATGGTTTGGGCCGCTATCAACGTCAACTTCTGGTCCCAGTTGGTGGTGGTCCAAGGCAATCTCAACGCTCAACATTATGTTGACGCCATCCTTCTTCCATTGCTGGCTCAACATAACGTCCATTGACAGGTGGTTTCCCAGCATGACAACGCCCGACCCCACACGGCCAGGTTGACAAGATACTTTCTGAACAATCATCATGTCCGTGTTATGGATTGGGCCACTATGTCTCCCGCATGATCCCGATCGAACACCTTTGGGATGAACTTGGACGACAGGTTCGAACTCAAGCTGTGACACCACAAACTGTTACAAAGTTGGCACAGGCACTCCAAAATCATTAGCAAACAATCCCACAGCGTGTAATGAGACATCTGTGCCAGTCCATGCCAAGGCGACTTCAGGCGTGTGTAAAAGCTCAGGGTGGACATACCTGATATTGACTTCAGCTGACCCCTGCTTTGTTTCATGGTTCTGTGACGTTTCGCTTTTGTGCATTTGAAGTGAATTCTTTCATGAAATTATCCACAGATGCTTGCAAATTGTTATCTTGATTTTGTCAATTGTTATGTACATTTGTTAAAAGTTGTTGCAGTAAATAAACTTTGAATTTGGCATTGCGTTTTTAATGACTTTGAGTATCGCAGTAATTAAGACGGTTGTCTTACCAGGAATAACAATGCAACAGTTCGTTTTTACATTTTATATATCAAGCTGCTTACATATGGTACAATGCATAATAGATTATAATAAAGTTATTCTCTCAAACCCCATCCAGTCAGACTCTGCTGATCGGGATTGCAACATCTTCTCCTTCTAGAATCCAGCTGCTGTCTGACGAATGCCCAAAGATATGATGGTCTTGTAGCTTTGGGTTTTGACCTTCAATTATCTAATTGGTCAAATATGACGTAATTAATTATAATGATTGGTTAATCAGCCTAATGACGTTGAAAGCCACCCCTATATGGATGGTGGAAACTTACAGTAGAAATCTCACATGTGATATCTGTTATCAACCCATACTGCACACAGCGATGCATCTACTTCATACCTCGATAATACATCACTGCACTAAATGCTGTCCATTTAAAAATAAACATATTAAATTTCATTCAATATGAAAATAGAAGAGAAATAAATACTTCTAAATAATTTTAAGCACATACTCAGTGTTTTCAACTAAAATCATTGATGTAGGAATTAAAATGTCGGTTAATTAGGTAAGGGCCTGTTTTAGGCGGAGCTAACTGTAGACAGACAGCCTAAGTTTGGGATGTTTTCAACCTAGAATTGAATGCCTACCAAATTATAACTCTTTTTTATGTGTCAACTCGTCAATCATTCCTTTATTTTGATTTAAGTGCATATCAGACAATATAACTTCTATACCATGTGTGAATCTAATAATTAGCCAAAGATATTAATTAATACAATATATTGCTATCATTAATTTAAAGAGCAAAAATTCTAACAATTTGCTACATTTCTCTCTCTGTTTTTGCTCAGTATTAGGTAAAAGATCCCTTGAATCCTTGACAACGACCACGCCAACATCTATAAAAAAAATTATATATGTAGCACAAATCTCGAAAATCAATATTATATCACCTCCCCCTGTTTTAAGATTTGTGCGAAATTAACAGGTAGGAGACCCTTAACAACTTCATTTACTAAACCATTTAATAATATAATTATTCATGCAACATGCACATACATAGGATTACTATACAATTAACATACAAGATTACATAAGATCACAATCTGCTTCAATCTGTTTCAAGAATATAAGTATCAATGAAAACACAAATAAGCAAAAATTGCATGCAAAAGCTCTCCAGAAGTTCATCACTGCACTTCAAAGTCCTATGAGAATTAACTTTATCCTAAACACAAAAAACACAATTGTATTTGTTTATTAAATCTTCAAATGTCCTAATTTCAAAATACTATAACACATCATTTCTAATTTATAAAGTTCAGTTTCACTTTAACTTCTGTCTCAGGAAATCTCAATGTGGTAAATTGGTAAATCATTTCTACTTGGATTTCTATTGGTCTGTTTCAGCTACCATAGTCTCACATTGAAAAACTTGCTTTTTGTCCCCCGCCTTTCGAAGAAAGCAGGGGACTATTAAAATGGGTTCGTCCGTCTGTCTGTCCGTCCGTCTGTCACACTTTTTGGGACACAATAACTCTCTTTCTAATTGAGCTAGAATGTTCAAACTTTGTGTAAGTGTTTATTAGGTCAATACCTAGATGGAGTTCGAAGATGAGCATTTTCCGCTTAGGGTAAGCAGAGATAAGCAATTTGATTGGTTGATGCTTTGGGACACGATAACTTTAGTTCTAATTAAGTGAGAGTGATGAAACTTGGTGTATAGTTTCATTACATCAATACCTTGACTAAGTTCGATAATGATCATTTTCTGCTCAGGGTAAGCAGAGCGATAAGCAATTTGATTGGCCAAGATTTTGAAACACAATAACTCTCCTTCTAATTGAGCTAGAATGTTCAAACTTGGTGTAGGTGTTTATTGGGTCAATGCCCTGACGGAGTTCGAAGATGAGCATTTTCTGCTTAGGGTAAGCAGAGATAAGCAGTTTGATTGGTTGATGCTTTGGGACACGATAACTTCAGTTCTAATTAAGTGAGAGTGAGGACACTTGGTGTATAGCTTTATTACATCAATACCTTGACTAAGTTTGATAATGAAAATTTTCTGCTGAGGGTAAGCAGAGCGATAAGCAATTTGATTGGTCGAGATTTTGGAACACAATAACTCTCCTTTCTAATTGAGGTAGAATGTTCAAACTTGGTGTAGGCATTCATTAGGTGAATCCCTTGATGGAGTTCTATGATGAACATTGTCTGCCTACGGTAGGCAGAGATAATCAATCTGATTGGTTGATGCTTTAGGGGCACGATAACTTTGGTCATAATGAAGTGAGAACGATGAAACTCTGAATGTAGTTCGATTGTGAGAATTTTCTGCCTGGGCTAAGGAGCTATAAGCAATTTGATTGGTGAAGATTTTGGAACATAAAAACTCTGTTTTTAATTGAGGTAGAAAAGTTTAAACCTGATGTAGTTGTTTATTAGGTGAATGTCTTGACTAATTTCAATGATTAACATTTCAAGCTAAAGCTAAGCAGAGCTAATCAATTTCATTGGTCGATGCTTTGGGACAAGATAATCTTGATTCTATCTGATAGAGAGTGATGAAACTTAGTGTGTAGTTTGATTGCTCGATACTTTTGAAAAAAATAAATGTGCGATTAATTAATATGTGTCATCTATTTATGTTGGCTTGTTGTTATTAGTAAGGAGTCTCTAAGTTAATCACCAGGTCCTGACCTCTTAAGAATTTCCGTCACTCTTCTGTGATGATTGGTTTTGGACAAAGTACAATTTTATCCATTAATCAAACATGTCATTGCCATCATTTAATTATTAATAAACTTTAATGTGTCTCTTTAATTAGAAATCTACAAACTAACTGTGACCTCTTGACCTTAATTCAGTAATCTACAAGTTTATTATTTTATAATTTTCGTTTTTATACACCCACATTTTCATGTGAAACTTCCAATCAATAGAAACATGTAACACAAACCAATTAGAGATGGTTTGATGGGATCAATTTTGACTAAGTCAAAATGATGCATATGATATTCAGATAAGTTGATATGCAAGGTATATCTCCCAAAGATCTCAGTTCCTTTTGATATTGGCATAAATCAGACCATAACTTCATGAATTATGGCCCCTGATTGTACATATATATGGTATATCAAGCTTGCGGAAACTCTAGAGGCCACAATTTTGATCCAGTTTTGATGAGACTTGAAATACATGTTTATAACCTAAGGTTGAAACGATACAGAAAAAAAATATCACGATATCTCACGATTATCGCCTGGAGTAAATTATCGCGATAATTAGAATTATTGTGCTTCAAAAATT